GTAAACACCGGTGCACGCCAGTCCCTGGTGCAGTTATGTCAATTCATGAATCATTAATACCTTCATTGACCTCAGATGTTAACAAAATCTTTAATTGACACCTTTCACGATATAATTGTTATGAGCAGCGGGCCTATACTTCCTCAGTCCTTTCCTAATGGGGCCCCAGAACCAACATTGGGTGGGTCTTGTATATGCTGGATAGTTTTACTATCAACAACTATAAGGCTTACCCGCCTCTCTAGTGCTAGTGTCTCTGTCAGCAAACACCCACTATCTATCCGCAACTGATTACCGGCCCCTAATGCAGTTATTTCATGATTCACTAATGCCTTTATTCGCCGCCAGTTTCAACAAAAGCATAATTAATTGCCGTCAACGACATATTAAACAGACAAAAGTATTGTCAATAGAAAGACAAAAAAAAAAAAAAAACCCGAAACACAGCAACAGAGTGGATAAGCATTAAACAGGCATCTGAGATTAGGTATCTGGGAACGACATTCACCTACGATGGTTAATCAGAGAAAGAAGTTAACATCCGATGCAGTAAAGCAAACCAAGTATTGCGTCAGCTAACCACTCACCCACACCCTTGCTTTATAAGACAAGACTGTCCCAGTCAGCACAAAGACAATTCTCATACGAAGTATTAGAATCCCTCCAATCCTATGCTAAAAGTGCCAGACTTTGTCACTCACAACAAACCAGAAACGAAAATTAGTAGTGAAGGAAATGAGATGTCAGAGACTGGCTGCGGGAGTGACCATAAGAGATAAAACAAGGAATGCGTTCATAACAGAACAAGTCAGTACCCACAAAAATTGTACATTACATAAATAGACAGCAAATCAAATGCTTTACCCACTTGGAAACTTGGACAAAAATGGCTTGAGACGCCATACCACACAGGGCACACACTACCAAAAAAGAAGACGCCAAAGAGCACTAGGTAGATCAAGAACAAGATGGAAAGAGAACATAAGAGAAACTCTACAACAGCACGATGCATCGATGATCGAGCAAGCAGCAAAACCTTATATCTCCCTCGACAGCCGAAGCGGTAAATGAGGAAAAGAAGAACAAGAAGAACAGTTATATATTAGTTATGACAGTGAGTCTATTCTTCACCATCTACTTTCAGTGAGTTGCTTCTCTCATATCTGCTGGATAGTTGTCATGTCAACAGTTACAATTCAGTGTACAATGCGGAGTAGCCAATGGTCATCACAGTTTGGTGACAGTGATGTAGCGAGGAGTCAGACGGAATCTAGCCGATACACAACGCTCAGAGGAAAGGCAAAACGGATGTATAATCAAGCTACTACTGGTACGATTGCTACTAGAACTCTGCACTGGCTGCAGAAGATGCGACGGAGCGCTTACGGTATTGATCCAGGTGCTGTGATGTCCGTTCTTGAATCAACTCACGTCAACAATTAGAAGCCTTACCCTCCTCTCTAGCGCTGGTGTCTCTGAGAACGAACACCCTCCATGTATACATCACTGCGTGTCGGTATCGTCTGCTGAGCAGCCATAGAAGGTGTGGAAGGATCAGGGCCTCTATCAGAAGCAGCCACAGCAAGGTCGTCTCCAAGGTTTCCCTGCTGTACTCTTGGATCAGCTGAACAAACTGAGACGCCTAAGGGTGGAGAAAGATACCATTACAAAGCTAGGACTGAATGAATCAGTGAATAAATGAACCTACAATTGACAACACTGAACTCGGTATTGCAGCACGTTGTCCATCCCTGTCCTCAGCAGGCAATGAATGAACACATAAATGAAAAATAAATGAGTAAATGAATGAGTGAATCAATGAATCAAAAATGGGCATCACTCGGTACATTTCATACGTACTCCAACCCATTTCCTCAATGTTCAGTGTTTATTTCAACATCATCTTCATCGCACATCGGACATGACCATAAGTGCTCCGATCCCCTCCTGAGTGTGTCTTAAAGTTTTAAAGTTTGATGTGCGCATGGCTGGAAGATCCCTGTACATTTGGTAGTCGATTGTGCCCTGTTCTAGGGCCAAGTATAATGACTTGTAATGATCTGTCCATGGTACAGCAATCGTCTTGTGATGGGTCTGGTTTTTCTCATTTTTTGGCTTGGCCGACCTGGAAACCGAGACCAATGTGTGGGTGTGCCTGTTTGTGTGTGTGTACTTGTGTGTGTTCGTGTGTGTGCGTGCGTGTGTGTTTGTGTGTGCGTGTGTGTGTGCGTGTATGTGTGCATGCGTGTGTGTACGTGCGTGTGTGGGTGCGTGTTCGTGTGTGCGTGCGTATTCGTGTGTGTGCGCGTATGTGTGTGTGCGCGTATGTGTGTGTGTGCACGTGCGTGTTCGCGTGTGTGTGCATGTATGCGTGTGTGTGCGCGCGTGCGTGTGTACGTGCGTGTGTGTGTTTGTGTGTGTTCGTCTGTGTGTGCGTGCGTGTTTTTTTTTTTCATAACCGCCCATGCGATGACGAACTCCAGATATTCGGGTGGGCATGCAAGCATTTAGGTTATATGGCACTGCTACCCCGATTACGAAGTGCATTTCGGAAGAATGTTCAATGAATGTTGAATGTTGAATTAGGAATCCATATCACAGCACTCGGAATATTTCCATAAGCGCTCCGCCCTCATTTTCAGCAGCGAGCACAGTTCCGATTCCGAGGGCACCGTTTCGTTCTGTCCTTGTCTGGTGGGAACAAATCTTCAAGTTCAACCAGCATCCCCGTATAAAATGACTTAGCATTGGGCGCTACAAAGAGCCCTGAAAAGGACTCTGCAGTGTTGATGTGATCAAAGGAGGTTAAGGTTGGTTGCGTATCCTTTACAGGACGTTGCAGAACCAGACCCAGCAGCCTCTGGCTGTTGTGTGGTTTCTCTAGGCAAATGTACGTCCAGTAGTTTACCATTGCTTTCTAGACGGTCTGTTCCCTAATACCACTGTCGAAACCAACGCAAGGCGCAAGGCGCATGGCCCTCAGCTGGGATCGAACCTGGCACCCTGGCATTACGAAGCGTTCGCACCGACTTAGTCAGAGGCAATCAAAGAAGACAGACCCAAATACTGTCCCGCCAATGAGTGACCCGGTCGCCGATGCTGATTGTAAATCCGTCTCGTCTTGAGTGTTGAGCATCGGCCAGATGACCTGGTGAATCCCCACAGCGCCGTTCTCCTCAGACCATGAAGATCAATTTGTGCCTCGGTCCCAAAGGACCCTTACACCATCTAACTTCGTGACACAGTTGAATGCCCATGCTCCGCAAGCGTAAGCATGCCTAACGGACAAATGATCAGATAGTGTTCTTGTGTATGTCTTGTGTTTATCAACACGGCCAGTGATCCAACAAATCAATTAAAATTAAATTTGTTTTTTTAGGCAATATAATGTCAATTCAAGCAGGACGAATAGGTTTTCTTTCAACAAAAGTATCAACACTTCGACGATAAGTTCATTTAACACAAAGATGATTTATATACTTCAATATAAGTTGCTATGACGTTCGTGGCATACTTAAGCGCAAGTTTTTAACAAGTTTTTCACTATTATGAACCTTTAATAAAGTCTCTTCTAAACTACTGTCGAACTTTCTAACCAAAATAGTTCTCGGACATTCAGTCAACTCTATTTTCATAACCTCAAGAGCTTGTCGACTGCCCAGCTTAACGGATTGGCGCTGATGTTTCGTCTCAGTGCCTTCGTGCACGCATGTTGCTTCTTCACCTGTTCCCTTTGTCCACATTTTCCTACAACTTGTCATGCATCAGTTAACCACAAAGTTGTGTAGAACCAGTCAATATATCAGTGCATCAGCAATCTGTTTACCGATACGTCATTGTGGTGTAGCTACTATAGATTTGCCTGCGGATTCAACGGTCGTGGGTTCAGGCTCTGATGCAGCCAGACTTGTTGTTGTTGTTGTTGTTGTTGTTGTTGTTGTTGTTGTTGTAAATTACCCTGGTTCCCAGGCCCACTCAGACTTAAATGGGTACAGGTGAAGAGCAAGGAAGTAAAGACGACCAGCGTGACGTTGACAACATCACCTACTAAGTGTCGATTGGTCAATAAAATACAGGCAAACCATACATACCCAGAACACCTAAAGGCGTGAGAAGAGTCCCGCAATCATTTTACTAGGGATTATAAACACCATACAAGGTCCAATAATTAAGTATTGAGACTAATTCCATAAAATTAAAATAATCAACAGTTGAAGATGTAACCTGTATCTGATTCAAAGTAAGCGCCTTGTGCATTGATGCAGCAGGTGGCACGATCAAACAAACACTGGAACGATCTCTGTAGTTCTCCTGTTGTTATGGCCCTTAAAGTCGATGTTACGGCCCTTTGGATGTCATCAATATGTTAAAAAAGCTTCCTTTTAATCGTAACTCTAATTTTGGCAATATAAAATAATCACAAGAGACAAATCTGGGGAATAGAGTAAAAGGCTGAGAACACACACTTGTTTTGGGGTAAAAAATTCTTGTTTTGATGATGTCTCTTGGGTACTCAACACAAATGTGGTACAAACCGGCAAGCAACATTTTCTTGCCAAAATCTTGCACTAAAATGTTATGAATGGTCTATTAACACCAGATTCATCTGCCATCATCCTCACAGTAAAACAATGATCTTCTTGTATCCATTTTCTGACTTTTTGCACTGAGTTTATCATTACGAACAGAAATGTGGCGTCCAGGTCTAGGTGCATTAGTAATCATTTCCACACCACTTTTGAATCGTGAAAACCACCTGAAAATTTGTGAACGAGATAAACAATTTTCCCCATAAACTTGTTTCATCAATTCAACTGTTTCAATGGCGCTTTTTCTAAGTTTCAAAAAAAAAAAAAAAAAGAATTTAAAGTTAGGTTTTTGCTCCCTGCTGATTACGTTACATTGCACCTCTGGCTAGGTCAACAAAATGGCGGCTTGTTTGTTGTCTGCTTATCGAACGGCGATGAAAAATTGCCAGATAATAGATCAATGTTGCCTCTTTATATTCCATGCCTTGCTTCATATATGGCATTTTTGTCTTGGTTATAATAAAATCAGTCTAATATCTTAATTGTCGGACCTTGTATTCATTTCAAATTGAAATACCAGTGTCAAACAGGACATTATCTAAAGCCTACGTACGCAAAATTACCACTTGCGAGATGAGATGCCTGAGAAGAAACGTCAACCTAATTATCCGAGATCGAGTGAAAAATTATACTATTAGACAGATTGTAGGAACGACACCTTGAGGTAGATTCACCGAAAAACAGCAGATCAAGTGGTTTGACCATCTCTTTAGAATGCAACAAGGTCAAATATCATCACAACACTAAATCTCAGAAGATCTGCTACAAAATCAAGAGGACGGCCGCGAAAAAATGGATAGACAACATTAAAGACACTCTGCGCCATTCCGGCATGACAATAATTAGTGGCAGCCAGCGAGCACTGAGTCACAAATTATTATTCCCTATGGCGCTTAACGACAGAAGTGGTCAATGATGATGATGATGATGACGATGATGACTGGAGATTCGACCCTGGAGCTCCTCGCAGGTTATGTAAAGACCGTGCTATCGTGTGGTCTTACACATTCGTCTTCCCGTTGTTGGATGCATTTTTTCCCCCGTTCTTTTAAAGCTCACCCCTTCTGTTACTGGGGGCCCTAATATAACCTAACTGCCGCCTCAAAATACTAAGCAAATTGAATTATCTGAAAGGAATATAACCAACAATTCATCGAGGTTTTGATAATTTATGTGGTTTTTGTCCCTTTCAAATTTACTTTTGCTTTCTCTCTCAAATCCCTGCGAGGTCCAGACTTCAGGTTACTCCTCAAAGATTAGGGGCTGGAAATAACCATATGGTTGGAGCTGGGTGGTGTGGGGTGAGGGACCGGAAAGAAAAAAAAAGGGGGGGGGGAAGCTTCTAGTATATGTAAACCTGAGATTTTCAGTAGTTGAGAGGCTGGCTAATTATGCAGACTGCAAACATTGAGGGAACTAACTGCAATGCAGAGCCCACAGACCTTTGGCGGTTTGAAAGTAACACTAAGTTTTATGTCCGTATTTGGTACACATTGCTTTTTATGCCCTTACACTAACAGTAAACAACTTTTAGCCCAATAGACTGCCTCAAAAATATTTTATTGGAGCTAATTTGATTCTATGCAGGGCGATAATCATTGTTTTTGAAATCTTTGTAATTGGTGTGGTTGTGTCCCTTTATATAATAATGTATGTTTTGTTGTTGCGTCTATCCTACCACTCTTTGTTTTCCCCCGTCTCAACTCTCTCTTTCTCTCTCTCTCTCTCTCTCTCTCTCTCTCTCTCTCTCTCTCTCTCTCTCTCTCTCTCTCTTTCTCCCTCTCTCTTAATCACTTTCTCTCGCTCCATTCTTTGCTCTACGCATCTGGCTTATTTGTTTGAAGACTGTTGGTTCTTTGCCTTTCAGGCAGAGGCACTCTGACTTCGAAAAAAAAAATACACGCAGCGAATGAGTCGCCTTTTTACTATTGATTATGATGATGATAGTGGTGGTGGTGGTGAGATTATCCTGTCGTCGACGACGACGATAATGATGATGATGATGATGATGATGACGATAATTGCTATAGTGAAGGTAGAGAAATCAAAACAGACAACATTCACTTACCAATAAAGGCACAGCGTTCAGAACTGAGGAGGCCATGGAAAACAACAACACTAAACGACATAACTCAATGGTCATATTCAGCTCGTTGTACTTTGCGTGGATTAAAGCGCTGGTTCGAATCCCTCCAGAAATTGTAGGCAGGTGAAATCTGTCGGCGCTATATTTGGTCAGGGCCACGTCCTTCATGGCCTTGAAGAGAAGGAGGCTGTCCAAACTGCTGACCACGCCCATAACGGTTGTCACTAGCGGGACAATGATGAAGAAAATGGCAAATCCGCGACTGATATTGGCTGGAAGAAATTTGCATTTGTTGTCTTCATAATAGTCAAATACATGTGCTACATCTGCAGCCGGGATTAGTCCAATCACGAGAGAAATAAACCAGCATATACATACGGACACGGTGATTGGTTTAGACGAAATGAATACATTACTTTTATTTGATACCCGTAACGAAGCCATCCAATAAACGTTCAGAACTAGCAAGACTAAAATGTGGGAGCAGCGAAGTGTGGTTGATAACCACGTATAGAATGCACATAAGCTTTGGGACCAATAGACATCAGCCAGTTTCGCAACAGCAGGAATAGGTAGGAGGAGCCAGGCGTTAGTCGCCATAGTAACACAGAGGGAAATAAAGGCCACGTCGCAGCTATGGTATAAAGGCTTGTAGTGAAGAATAAAAAAAATTGAGAAACAATCAGTGAGGAACGCAAACGGGGAAATTATCATCCATGCTAAAGCAACTCCAAAACCAGGCATGGTTTTCAGCCAACCAAACTTAACTAGGTCAAGGAGTCCATTCTGAATGTTGTTTGTGATTAGCCCTTCTGTCTAAACTCCACTGATTCATTTATACGCCTTTGCTGAAATTCTGTAGAAGTTTAAGTATTTTGCTATTTTTGCTTTGTGATAAATAATTTTGGGGAAATGTTGCGTTATCTGTATTGTCTTTGCTGTAACTGAACTTTAGAGTTGTATTTTACGCTTACATAGGTATAAGTTTGATGTAGCTTCCAATCTTGTCTTTAAAATACACCTAAATAAATATTAGCCAGTTGTCGTCTAAGGAAAGGCTTCTAATGTTGTCATTTCTTCACCTGGACGCCTGCCGTCTCATCGAGGCAGGGCAAACACAGGAGTATTGGAATCTGCAAAGAAAAATATGGAACGAAATTATATAACTGTTTAACAGTTGTATACAGTACATCCAACATTATTTTAAGTCTACTATTAAGTTCAAACGTGGAAATTAAAGTCACCATTTAAATCTGAGATCACGGATCTTCTTTGTCGCAATATACGCATGTAAGCCTAAATTATTTTGTATCCTAACTGGGAAAAATGTGCGCTATTGAACTGAGTGTGTTGTCCATCAAGATGATGATGATCAGTCTCTTTCATCAAGTATGAGTACGAAGATGACTGATGAGACCGATGCGGGATTCCTGTCAAAATGGACGCTAGGCACGGGCACTGTTTGGAGCCGAGGCAAATTTTTTGCTTCTGCCAGACGGTGGCCGCTGTATTTTTGCTTTATTTGTAGACTGAAAGGATATAGTTTCGCGCCCAGCTTTTGAGTTGAATGCATGGCGTGACACTGTGAGATGCGGATTACATTTGGAAAGTATTTTTCGACTGTGACCAACGTGGTGGTGTGAATTGTAGATTCAGAAAATGGCGTGATGCCTGTTGTCGCAATGTTGGTGGTGCCCTAATGTGATTAAAATTGATCGCGTGTGCAACTGCTGATCTGTTGGTGACTTCTGCTACCATCGATGATGAACTGCATTTCTAATGTCGGACTATTTGTGTGAGCACTTCGGATGCCTACCGTGTTCTTTTAATGCGTGTGGATGCTAGATATGCTGAGACAGCAGTCTGTCAATCTTTCCATAAGGGACTGTGATAAACATTTGATGTGTTTTTCGTTGGCACAGGAGTGAAGCAACGATGGAGGTACCCATTTGCTATGAAGCTGACACTAAGACTACCAGACCAGACTACCAGACGCGGGCCCGAAATGTTATTGGACAGTGAGAACAGGGAATGAGTGTTGAGTCGCCTTCCTGTCCATTTTTTTTTTTCTCAATCTGTCTTGTTTGCTTCACACGTAGCCGTGCCCTTGTTTAGAGTTGCATGAGGCATTTCTGTCATGAGAGGCACCCTCCTAATTGCTGTCATCTATCCCAAATGCTTTGAGTGAAGACTTCAAGGTGTCCTTAAAGCGTTTATTTGGCAGGCGTTGGGAACGCTTGCTATTTTGCAGCTCACCATAGAAGACTATTGAACTAAAATGCTATAGAAAGATTCCCAGAATGCCATGGGCCAAGAAGAAAACATAATAGTGACATCCACAAAGAACTGAAAACAGAGGCACATTAGCCAGTTAACAGTATCTTGTCTAAGAAAATTAAGGAATTTGATTACATCAAGCTCCGCGGTGGGTTAGAAAGAAGGACAGCAGAAATCATGGTACCAGGAAACAGAGAGAAGAGCCGACAAGAATGAAGATGGGCACCGGGCGATAATAGGACACTTTGAATAGGAAAATGCACGAAGAACATTTCCAAATACGATTTTAGAAATGACTCCACTGAACGGTGACTAAGAAGCTTAATAAGGTGGAAAGGGGGAAAAGGACAGACAAATACACACACACACACACACACACACACACACACACACACACACACACACACACACACACACATATATATATATATATATATATATATATATATATATATATATATATATATATATTAATATATATGTATACACAACCACAGAGACACACATACACACACACACATACACACCAGCAGCCTTTATAGACAAAAACCACAACAATATGACGGAGAGTATTAAGGTCACAATTTTAGACTGGGTCTCCCTGAGAGCCTAGGTCATAACAATTGTCATGAAGCTGATTCGATCCCACCACCTTCGGGCAGAGAGGCAAACGATAGCCACTGCTCGACTGCGGCACTCAACGATCAAACTACGGACTTTTGATTCATTACACTGAGTGCAGTGTGAGATTCTTTCCTTTATCGGTATGTCCACAGCCTGGGCAAACCAAGATTCACAATTCCCAATTGAGCAAGTCCTAAAAACACAATTACTTAATTAAAAATTGTTATCCATCAGTAAATAACTGTTTTTTTTTGGTCCCCCCCCCCCCCCCCCGACAATGAAGTACTGCGTTGCTTACATTAATCACGCAATGCCCCACCAATCAATTGATGCAATATGCATGTAGGTTTGATAATTAGACGTACTGGCCAATTAGATAATTAATTCTATATTTGTTATATTTCTGCAGTTATTTTTTTTTCCCCTCTTTTTATATTCATGTTTTCATGCCCCCTCCCCACCCCACCCCTCAGGACTGCATTCAGTCTTAAAGAGTAACCTCTCACTGATGCGAATCAAGTTAATTCCCTGTCCTTTACATGACATTTCAGAACACATCCCAGCATTTTTTTTTTTGCTGTTTTGTGTTTTTAGGCACATTTTACGTTCAGTAGTTCACAATCTAATAAATTACAGACATTCATTAACTGGTGCCTGCGCAGAATAGATGGAATTAAATGGTATGATAGAATAACTAATGTAGAGCTTTGGGAGAGAACTAAACAGGCTCCAGTGGAACAAGAGGTGAGGAAAAGACGCTAGCGCTGGACTGGACACACACTGAGAAAACAGGAGAACAGCATAACCAGAATGTCTTTGCATTGGAACCCACAGGGGCACAGGAATAAAGGATGGCTAAAAAACTCAGGGAGAAGAGAGCTGGAGAATGAAGTTAGAAAGATGGGGAGGACATGGGGAGAGCTCCATGCAATTGCGAAGGATAGAACGACTTGGCGTGAGTTGGTTGAGGGCATATGCTCCATTGGGGGATAGAAAGGCAGAAGAAGAAGAAGTTCACAATAGCCCTTGAACCATCAGCTCTCGGTACCACTGTCAAAACCAACGCAAAACAAACCCTCCGCAGCTGGGATTGAACCCGGCACCCCTGCATTACGAAGCGCGTTCCCAAGGCCTAAACCACAGAGGCTGAAAATGCGAATTAAACAGTTACACATGCCAGGAACTGATATCGAGGGTAAAGCTACATAGTACAGCTATACTGAAGCATCAAAACACAGTCACTAAGTAACTGACATAGTTCAGTGTGGGTGGATTTGTTGAGTTGTGAACAGCACTCTCTCTTTAATCCAGTAAAGTCTCTCTCTCTATCTCTCTCTCTCTCTCTCTCTCTCGTTTTAAGGTCAAATTGCTTCAGATAAGAGGTATAAACATTAAATAGGGAGCGAGTGGAGGTTTTATTTGAATCCCTCTGCTATATGTATTCATATAGCTATAGATCTGAATCGACAGAAAGTAGAAGATAGAATGCCCTATCTACAGTTAAAACAATCCAATTTCTGCCTTACTCAAGGACTCACTGGGCACAGATTGTTGATGTAATCGAAGCGGCTATTGATGTGGTATCGATGCAGAGGCAGTTTTCAAAGCTTATGGATTAGATAGCTGATGCTGGAAAGAAATGTTCATAAATCGATACAAAGCTCGATTTGGGATTGCAGACAGAGGGAGGCGTGGGGAGGGGAGTGGAGGAGAAGAACATGCAGAAAGAAATGGAAATACAGGATTGAACGAGCAAACAAAACTTTATTTTATTACCTATGTAGAGAGAGACAAAGTTACTGACTGGTGTGCAGAAATGGGTGCTGTCATAAACTCAGAAAAGGCGGCTGTGTTAGTGACAGTAGTGTAAAGAAACCAAAGCTTTTTACACTAGCACAGGAAGTAAAGTGCTAGTGTAAAAAGCTTTGGTTTCTTTACACTATTGTCACTAACACTCTTACACTTTTCATATTCTTACTCGCCAACATAAGGGGTAATTTAATGTAAAAATCTATTTTAAAAAGGGTCTGTTCAGCTTTTTCAACCTATCTCGTCGGCTGTGAGATTTGATTGGAAATTCTTAAGAAGTTCCCTGGAAGGTCCTGTTATATAGGGGAGTTAGGGTTAGGCTTAGTTTTAGTGTTTGTTGATGCTCATTTAACAGTAAGACTAAATCACTAAAACTGTTCTATTTTAGTCGTGTAAGGTGCTGGAGACGGCTCTGTGGCTAAGTCGATGCGAACGCTTCGTAATGCCGAGATGCCGGGTTCGATCCAAGCTGCGGGTCATGCGCCTTGCGTTGGTTTCGACAGTGGTATCAAGAAAGCCGACCGTCCAGAGGCAATGGCAAACTACTGGACGTAAATTTGCCTAGAAAAACCACATAGCAACCAGGGGCTGTTAGGGTTGGTTCTGCAACGTCCTGTAAAGGATACAATGTGCTAGTTATTTTCAGCGTGTTCGTCGTTTACTACGTCATCAATTCCAGTGTGTGTTACTTTCGTTCTTTCGTCGCCCTCACTGTGTCATGTTTACAAGCTCTGTTCTTACTTCGTGACTTCGCCTTGGCCGTGGATTTTCTTGACCTGTCAGCCTTCGTGCATCTAACCGTAACCCTGACCCACGACGGTGCAAACATGAAGACTGTCAAGGTCCGCCTCTGAATATCCCCAGTTCGCTTTGCACTGCCTATGGTCTGCCCAAAAGAAACACCGTTTTAAGCCGAACTTAACGAGTCGCTAAGTTAATTACATAATGCAATGAAGTTCATGCTAGAGACGACACTGCATATATATATATATATATATATATATATATATATATATATATATATATATATATAT